TCTTGATACAAGTAGTCCTCGCCTAATAACCACAACTGGGATGGGAACCTCCATCGCTAAGCGATGTGGCCGTTAGGTGGAATGTCACGTGACTGCATCACTTAGCGACCGCAGTCCTGGTGGTCCTGGTTGCCATTATTAAGTGGATGCCCCTTTTGATAAGCAAGGCAGCTTCCTGCCGGCTTCCCACAATCAAGTCAGTGGGGAAGCTGGCAGGAATTGCAAGCCCAGGCGCTACGGGTGGAGAGGGAACGAGGGGATGCACGGGAGGGTTGGGCCAGGCGCGTGAGGGAGGCGGCCCCAAAGCTCCATTCGCTAAACGCTGCCGGAAGACCTTTGGGGGCTGCATGAAAAGCGCTCGTGCTGAAATCCAAGCAGAATTTTGGCACAGGGAGTTTAGGGTACAGAGCCCTGGGGGCTGCCCAAAAATGCCCCGTGCCGAAAGCCTGCTTGGATTTCAGCACGAGCGTTTTTCAGGCAGCCCCCAAAGTTCTTCCGGCAGCGTTTAGCGAATGGAGCTTTGGGGCCGCCTCCCTCACGCGCCTGGCCCAACCCTCCCGTGCATCCCCTCGTTCCCTCTCCACCCGTAGCGCCTGGGCTTGCAATTCCTGCCAGCTTCCCCACTGACTTGATTGTGGGAAGCCGGCAGGAAGCTGCCTTGCTTAACAACCGGGGCATCCACTTAATAATGGCAACCAGGACCACCAGGACTGCGGTCGCTAAGTGATGCAGTCACGTGACATTCCACCTAACGACCACATCGCTTAGCGATGGAGGTTCCCATCCCAGTTGTGGTTATTAGGCGAGGACTACTTGTATCAAGATGTTTTGCTGTCTGCTTTTAAATTCGGTTTTGATTCAATTTGTATTTTATACTCTTTTTATTGTTGAAAATTGCCTTGAGTATTGGAATAAACAGACAGGTGGGGCTATAATAATATAATAAAGTGTCAATTCTTATTATTATTATCCAATAATAAAGTGTCAAGATTTCATTTATGCAAACTATGGGGTGGCTTCTCCATTTCCGTTAGTATTCTGCAGGTTGTCCACATCCAACAGAACAGCTTTCCCACCCTTTATAACAGCTGTGTATTTATTTTTATTATGAGATTTTATCCCGCCTTTTTTTTAATATTTGGTCACCTCCAAGTGGCAAACATACCTAAAACTCCCGCCTATTTTCCCCACCACAACCACTGCCTTGTGAGGTGGGCTGGGCTGGGCTGGGCTGAGAGAGCGACTGGCCCGAAGTCACCCAGCCGGCTTTCATGCCAGCGGGAGGCCTCGAACCGCCTCCTGGCCTCTAGACCGGCGTCTTCACCACCACCTCATACTGGCTCGCTGTCCAGAGCCGTGTCTAGCCCAGAAGGGCTAAGTAGGGTTGGGATCCATTGGTGCCCTCAGAAATACCAGGCTGCCAGCTGGAGGGAGACGCTGAGAGCCTCCCAGGGAGAGGCGGCTGCAGCTGTGGGACTGCCAGGAGAACAAACTGAGTAGTCTTCATTCTTTGTCAGGCTCTGAGTAACCTTTTTCCTAAGTCAGAAGTTCTGTTCACAGTATAAATTCATGGTATTTTTCAGATAACTTCACACAGTGAAGCGTGGCCCCCGATCCAGTCTGTTATTTGAGGAAATAAGATTCGTGTAATGATTTAATTCAAAAGCCCCCGGGAAGAGGAGGAAGCAAGAACACCGGCCCCTGCCTGTCCTGGCGATCTCTTCAGGACACCCTCCTAGCCCTCAGCAGTCTTCCCCACGGGAAAAGGGCCAGGAAGACCCCTAGTTAAATACGTGTTGCCTCTGACGTCCAGGGGTTCCATACAAGCGATGAGCAGTGAACCTCACCGTAGACCGAATTCCTGTGGTGTAAGCAAGCGATCGTACCCAGGGACCCTTCAAGCGGGCAGTTTATCCCCTCATCCGTGTAGATGCCCCTTGCTGACTTTCGCAGGGGGGTTGAGGAGAAGGAACTAGCTTGGGCTCGATCAGGTGGATGAACCAGAAATAATTTCAGTAGATCTCATATACGCGTTCAAAAATGAACAAGGCCTAATAGCCCTGACCAGTGCACATTAAAATGTGGTAGGAATCCATATTTAATTTGTCGTCTTTCTAAAGGTGGGTAAAAAATTCCTCAGTAGATGGTTTTGTGACCTAAAAGGAAAAGTTTCTGAGCTTCTTAGAACTCTGCCCTTGACTTGTCAATCAAACCCCCTTCCCTGTAGCAGCACTTAGAAGAAGAATTGCCTCTCACCAACATAGTCGAAAAGGCCGGGTGCCAACTTCTCTGGCAGGTGTGCAGCAAAAAAGAAGCAGGTGAGGCAAGCGAAGACAATGTGCTTGTAGTGAATTGCAAGGACACTTTCCGTGCAAACGTTTACCTCGCACAAGTACAGCTGTAATAAAAAAAAAAGACGTTCAGATATTTGGGAGAGCCAGAGATAGGTAAAGAAGCAATCAGTTTTCTGAGCCTTCCCCAGCCTGATGCCCTCCGGACGCTGGATAGTCCCAGACCGATCACCGCGTGATAGCCTCCCAGGTTGCCAAGAAAGGAAAACTCTCAGTACGGTGCTGTCTCCAGTTCTGCTGGTGGAATGAAGAGGGAAACACGCACGTGCAAAGTTTTCCTATTGATCTGAACTCTAGAACAGCTGAGTCTCTTAAAAATTATCTTGCCGTGCAGGACTTCGAACAGGCACAGTTCCAACATGATCCCAAGTAGGTAGATATAAAATGAATCCCACTCATTCAGATTAGATCTCTGATATCAGTATTAAAAGTCCTTATGTCCTGTTGCAAAATTAGGATCAAACTCTTTAAACACAGTTTTTTAAAATGGATTGGATTTTATTCATCTGATCAATCAGTGACCTGCTATTTAATATGTTTTGATTTTGCTGCCTTACTATGAATTACTTGTTGAATTGTTCTATACATTAAGGAAGAGGTTCTCAAACACTGTTTTGCTATGAATCAAATTGTAAATGAGTTTGTGTGACCCCTTCACCTGAATGATTTCATTGGGGTTGGACAAGAAATATATTACTTTTAATCATTACAGTTTAATTTATATATCAAATTAGACAATCTATGACCAATTGGCTTCACGTTTCAGAGATGTTCCCTTGCCTAAACAGAGAAACAGAGTGACCACAGGCAAAAAAGCAGTGGGAGTGGGAGCAACTTCCGACTTCCTGCCGTCTTCCCCATTGACTTTCTCTGTGGGGAACTGGCAGGGAGTGTTGGAAATGATGATCACATGACCGCAGCGGAGCAGCAGCACCGAAGCAGACACAACTTTGCCAAATTTCAACCCCACGGGAGTAATGGATCCTAGATTTTGTACACATTCTGTAAGTTAGCCCATTTGAGGTACCTCGGTTCAAAAATTGTTGCCCTAAGATGCAGAATCTTGCCCAATTGAAGGTTACAAACAGAAACAGACAGGAGAGTTTTAGTAGTATATAGATAAAATTGATGGATCCTTATAGCTATAAATTAATGTTTTCATTGGAATTAATCAAACAAATTTAAAACCATATTTTTAATGAGAAGGACGAGTCTTTTAGTTTTGCCCAGTTCTTGAAATCTTTATTTTTGAAAGCCTTTCTCATTTATTTTGGATCAATGCTAGTTCTTAATAGCAACTGTAGAAAATTCTCACTTCGCTATCGGCTTGCATAGGCAGAGCGGGATCTGCAACCCAGCTTGGATGCTCAGCCCATCAATGTTGCACGCTCAGAACCGGAGCCTTGTCCGAATTTGCTCTGGGCTTCGCTTGGACCAACCAGCTTTTCCAAGCAGAGTGGAAGTGGCCCTGTGGGCCCCCTGTCCAATTCCTTCATTACCCCCAATGATTCCAACCCACAGTTTAAGAATCCCTCATTGGTTTTGCTACTGTTATATTTTGATAATATTCTGTCAGTGGTGATAAGTAACTTGAGCATAATATATTAAAAGGTGATGTAGATAGACGAGATAGGAGAAAATTATTTTAAAACCGTACCCTGTAGAAGAGAGGCAAGCTGTCAAACAGGTAAGAATACGCAAAGGCCAAGAGGCGGATCACTTTGCTGAACTTTGGCTGCTCCGTTTCCATGAACCTGAATGTTAAAAAGAAAAACGAGACGATGAGGGCCTTGAATGGGGAGGGGTCCATATTATTTCCTCAGAATAGAACACAGTTTTGGGGAATCCCTGCTGGTGAATTTTAACCCTTTTTGTAATGCCTGAACAGGGTCTCCCTCTCTCTGTCTTCCACAGAGACGGAGCTTTTCTTCCCCGTCCCCTTTCATCCAGTTTTGTTCCGACTCTCTTTTCCTTCCCGGATCGGTTTGTGCCTTCCCCATCGTTCTTGTCTCCATTTTTGCTGTTTCTCTTGGAAGTACAGAGAGTAAGGTCTGAGTAGCTGCCTGTCTCTTCATATGGATGTTCTGCAAATGAGGGAGTGAATGGCTGGAATATGCACACAGAGAAACAATTTAACTTAAGCCGTGGGATAGGCTAATTGATTTTCATTATTTATTTATTTAATTTATTAAACTTGTCCCCCACCCATCTCCCCCCAGTGGGGGACTCTGGGCGGCTCAGAACACATTAAAGCAATAAATAAATATACAATTAAAATCTATAGCAATTCACATTTACAAAAATAAAAGGGAAAAAATCCAGGAGGCTGATGGTTCAAGGCAGCAGTGCCAGGCCACTAAGGGACTAGCCAGCCCCACACTTGATGATCCCCCTCCTTGCCCCAGGCCAGATGGCAGAGCCAGGTCTTCAGATCCTGGCCAGGAGTGAGGGGGCCAATCTCACCTCTGGGGGCAAGATGTTTCAAAGGGCGGGGGCTACCG